GCCTGTGCTATCTAAACACCCAAAGTGGAAGGCTTTATTTTTTAACCTCTCTCAAAAATGGTTGAGGTTAAATAAAGTCTTTAAAATAATTCGTGTGTTAATACATTGAAATATCTTTCTTACAAGGTTTATGTTAGTGAAAGATGAATAACCTGAATTTTCTAATATAATAGCACTTTGATTTGAATTATACAACTAAATATTTGGGGGGAAAAAAACCAAGAGGTTTTCAAATGTTTATCTAATCTTGTTCCTAGTCTACAAAGGTAGACTTAGTTTCATATTTTAAAAGTTATACTTTTGAAAAAAACTTAAAGCAAGTTCCTGAAAAGTTCCTTTTCTTTTTATTGAAATGATCAGCTTTTGGTATTTTATTGTTCCCGATATCTATTTTTAGAATACTTTTTTATTTCTATCTAGGCTTTTAGAAAAATTATGCTCTTGAAGTAGGCTAGAATAGATTAAAATGAAATTAATGTTGCAGTTTTAGTGTTAAATGTGACAATTGTAATTTGTCATTCTTAGAACTTCAATTAAATGGAAATTTTATACAAAGTTATTTATTTGACAAGGTTAAGTTCTCTTTAAAAGGGGGGACATTTATCATTCACTTACTTAGCAGTATGCTAGGTGCTCTGTATTTTTAAGTAGAGTAATAAATTGAATGTAGGTTTCTCCCCCTCTTCCTCTGGCCTTAAACAACTTTTTATTTTTTATTGTCAGTAAAATGACATATGTGGATGTTATTCAATAGTATATAGGATAATTTACTAAAAATCGTTAAGGCTCAATTTCAGAATCATTTGCATATTCAATGATTTTCATCTCCACAGAACTCTTCTTTTTCCTGCTTTTATACCTGATCATTTATGCCCGTTTAGTGTCCTCACATAAACGCACAATAAACTGGACTGGCTGGTGTGGCTCAGTGGTTGAGCGTTGACCCATGCACCAAAAGGTCCCCGGTTTGATTCCCGGTGGGGGCACATGCTCAGATTGTGGGCCAAATCCCCAGTGGGGGGCATGGAGGAGGTGGCCAGTTGATGTTCTTTCTCATCGATGTTTCTATCTCTCTCTCCCTCTTTCTTCCTCTCTCTCTCTCTCTATAAAACAATAAAGAAAAAAATTAAAAAAAAAAAACCACAATAAACTGTATTGCTTAGCTTCTTTGTACTGATTTGTTTCCAAAGGAAGGCAAATAAAATCTTTGCCCTGTAATATTAGTTTCTAACCCTAGAGAAAAATTAAGCATTTACTGTGAATTTTTCGTATGTGGTTAGAACATTACTTTTTGGAAAGTTGTGCTATTTTCCTTATGGGTAAGAGAAGCTTTAAAGCAAACTTGATATCCTTAAATTTAGGGAGTAGATATGACTTTACAAAATATTTTCATTAAAATAATTCACTCCAGGAGTCTTAAAATTCAAGTCCGGTGCATCGCGTCTCTGAAGCAGCCCACGCTCCTCTGCGGGGGTGGGGTGGGGTGAGGGGGGTGGGAGTGGGGGTGATGGGGGGTGAGGTGGGGGTGGTAAGACGTCCAGGCCACTGCCCGGCTGTGAGCGCTTTCCTGCACTGGAAGCGGCTACTCCGGCTCAGTTGGATTCCATTCTCTTACAAAAAGGTCAAGAGCATCCTTTATAAAAAGTACTGGAAGGCACATGTACTCTTTTATTTTTTTTGGTAATATAGTCATCCTCACTATTTGCAATTTCTGTGTCTATAAATTCGCCTCCTCACTAAAATTGTAATCCCGGAGGCATTACTACTGAAGGCACTTTCTCGGCCATTCCCCAACATGAGCAGGGGCCACGGATCTGAGTCAACGCAGTGCGCGTTTCCAGCTGAGGTCACACAAGGTGGCCGGCTGCCTTCTCCTCCCGCCTCTCACGCTGGGAACCGTCCGGTTTGTGCTCTGTTCAGTGCCTTGCTCTTCACATTTTTGTGCTTTTTGTTGGGGAATTGGTGTTTTAAAACGGCCCCCAAGCATAGAGCTGAAGTGCTGACGTGCTGTCTAGTGTTTCCAAGCGCACGAAGGTTGTGTGTGTCTTACGAAGAAAATGTGTATTAGATACGCTTTGGTAAGGTTTGATTTATAGTGCTGAGAGTTTAATGTTGGGGAATCAACAACACATGTCAAATAAGGTGCCTCTGATCAGAAACACACATGAAACCAGGTTATGTAATTGATCCGTGTTAACAGTGTTGTGGGAACCGAGGCCTGTAGGGCCCTAGGAGCAGAGGTCTGTATTCCTTAACTCAGTGCTGGGGACCACTTTATATGGACTCTCCCCACCATGAATAACTAGAATTGGTGGCAGGTATTATTTTTTAAGCTGATAGATATCCATCTAAAGTCAACAATCAGGTGTTTTGTGAGGATGCACGTTTTGTGCTGCACTGTGAGCTTTTACCTACCGTACCTATGTTCACCTCTGGAGCCTGCCCAGGCCCTGGGGAGAAGAGCCAGCTTGGGAATGGGAGCAATCGGGCTGCTGGGAAACCTGGCATGCGGCTCGCCTTGGCGTTCCCTGAATTTCCACCTGTTCACGATGCTGGAGCCTGGGTGGTAAAAACCAGATCCTCCTGACCTCTAGCAACCAGGGAATTCTGGTGTGTGTGTGTGGTGGGGGGGTGCGGGGCTGCGCCATTCCTCGTGGCTACCTGTTAGGGACCTGCGAGCTCCGTGGGAAGGGGTTCCTGCATGGTTTTGTTTGTGTCTTTGGTTTGAAGTGTTGGTTTGCTTTGGATATGACTTATCCTTCATCTTAAACCAGCTGGGTAAGGTACCAGCCAGAACAGGTTCTTTAGGCAGGGAGGTTTAAAGCCCTTTCTAAGCCCTAGGCACTGTTGCTTCTCAGATCCCCACCCTAAACCATATAAAATGTACCCATATTCTATATTAAATCTAATATATATAATTATGAATAGAGTTGAATTGCTGTTGAAATGTTATAGGTGTAGGTGTTTAATTAAATGTTAATGTAAAATGTTCATATTCTGGAGCATTAAGGGTCCCGGACATTTCCCGGTGTCAGACATTTCATGGGCCCTGGAAACACTCGTGGACCCTGTAGTGCAGGACAGATATGTCAGTGTCCCTAGGAAGGAGGAAATTGGGTTTTCCTTAGCCCTTCAGCTGGTCTTCAACTCTCCAGCCTTTGACAGCTCTGCTGTGCCTTGTGCCACACGTGTTGGGTATGCAAGAGTAAGCCAGACAGCGAGCGCTCTGTCCTTCAAGGAGCTTGCAAGCTTCCCTCCTTAGACAGGTGGCTTTCCTGTGGCAAGGTAGGTGCTCCGGGCAGATGGGGGCCCTAGCGGAGCTGGGCGAAGGAGGGGACCCTGAGGTGTCCTGGAGCAGAGGTCCTGCGTGGGGTGTTGAAGGATGCCTTTGGTAAATGAAGAGGCCTGGGCAGAGGGAGTTTGGAGGAAAGCTGGGGGTGAACCAGGTGGCAGGGCCTGGCTCCAGCATGGGGCGTGTGGGAAACTACAGGTTTTTGTTGCTGCTGGAGTGATACGAGACAGGTGGTTTGTGGTGGTGACAGATACCATTGGAGAGACAGGGAGGGGCTGCAGACGCAGGCCTTCGTGCCACCTTAGACAGATTCAGGCTCGTTCTGGGCGTGTGACCTGCTTCTGGTGCTTCTGCCGCGAACACTTTCTGGTATCCCTCAGTGAACGTCAGTTGTACAAATAAGTTTCTAATCTTCTCTGTCATTTACAGTGTCAGTTACCTCTTCTTTAAAGAAATGAAAATGGCTTAGTTCTAGAAATAACTTTTTGTTGATGCATGACACACCAGAAAAGTGCAAATGCAGGTATCCGGGGAAATGGCTTACTTTTAGCCATTCTGATAAGTATGGAAATCACGATTCTGAAATTCTGTCATTCTTTCAGTGCTTTGTAGCTGCAGTTCTATGAAGAAGAACTTTCCTCATCAATTATTTGGTAACCTTGAACTGTAGTCTGTATAAGAATGGCACAAAGTATTTGATTACTTTTCTCATTTCATTGCCTCCCTCCCATCTTGAAAAGTCAAGTTCAGTAAAACAGATGAGTACCCTATTAGGCTCCAGAGTGACTAATTGACTTTTAAAAATCATTATACACTCATGGAGTTTTAAAACATTTGATGTGACTGTATTCTCAGTAAATCAGTAGAAGAGAAATTGCCATGTCAAAGAGTAGGCAGATTTCGCCCTGGCCAGTTTGGCACAGTGGTTAGAGCGTCGGCCTGAGGTCCGGAGAGACCCGGGTTCAGTTCCTGCTAAGGGCGCGTACCTCGGTTGCAGTTTGTCCCCGGCCCTGGTTGGGTCGTGTGGGTGGCAGCCACTCGATGTGTCCCTTCACATCGATGTTTCCCCCTCTCTCTCCCCCTCTCCCACTCTATCTGAACAAAATATCGAAAAATGTCCTCGGGTGAGGACTAAAAAAAAAGAGTAAGCAGATTTCTAATCTTGGTACAGATTACTCCCCTCCCCTCCAGAAAGATTGCACCATTTTAGGTGTTTAGCAGTAGTATATAAACATATTTATCTATCCATCTCCTTGCTATACTGCTTTGGCCAGTTTATTATTATCATTATTTAATTTTTTTTTCTTTATTGAGTTTAGAGAGAGAGAGGAAGTGAGAGGGAGAGATAGAGAGAAACATCGATGAAAGAAAACATTGATTGGCCGCCTCCTGCATGCCCCCCTGGGATCGGGCCCACAGCCCAGCACGAGCCCTGACGGGAATCCAGCTGACAACAGTCGAGCTGACAGCCTGTTGGTGCATGGGTCAGTGCTCAACCACTCAGCCACACCAGCCAGACTATTATTTTTTAATTTACAAATCTAATGGCAGAATTGACACCTTACTGTTTCTCTTTGCAGTTCTTTAGTTACTAGTAAAGTTGATTATCTTTTCACATGATTGACTTCTTAAAAATTTAGTCAATTGCGTATTCACTACCCATGCTTCTATTAGTATATTGGATTGTTTCTTAAATTTTTATGTAGTTTTGTCTATCCTTTCAGGGATCATTTCTATAGTTTGTTACTAGAGACATTTCTATGAAGGTGCAGAGCACCCGAAACCAGGAGGAGGAGGTGCAGTGTTCTCTCCTAAGCGTGAAGCCGGCTTTTGGTGTTTTTACAACTTTTACAACTGCCATTGGCTATTGATGATCAGTCTTTTCCTTTGAGAGAGTAAGAGGGAGAGGATGCAATCTGAGTGGTTTCTGGAAAAGAGAGAGAGAGAGAGAGAAGAAGAAGAAAAAGAGAAAAAATAATGAGAAAGAGAAAAAGAAAAGAAACAATATAACGTTATACCTATCAACTTTTGTTGCTGGTTACTGGTTTTTATTTGCTTAGAAAGGCCTTTCCTACCTTAAGATTATAAAAACATGTATCCATTTTTCTGGTGCCTCTCTGTAATTTTACAGTTAAATATTTGTTCCATGTGTGGTTTATTTTTGTATAAAGAATGAGGTAAGAACCCAGCGTTACTTTTTTCCAAATGTCTGACCAGTTTTCCCAATGCCATTTGTTATAAACTGTTTTATTTGCGGCCAATGTGAAATGCCACTTTTAAGTTAAATTCTTTTACCTGCATCTATTTTTGAGTTTGTCATTATGTTTCACTGATTTGTCAGTCTAGTCTTGTTTTAGTATCACAGCTTAAATTACTATGTAGTTTAATTGTCCTTTACAATTTTGTTATTTGATTTTGTAAATATATGAAAATCACACAGGCCTTTCTAATATATTACTATTATGTCTGACTATTGCTTTATAATGTGTACTATTAACTGGTACTGCTAGTCTTTTTTGTCTTTTATGACTTTTCTGACTAAATTCACAAATGTATTCTTTCTTGAAAAAGGTGAGGGGATTAAGATATACAAATTGCCAGTTATAAAAACAGTTACAGGGATGTAAATACAGCATAAGGAGTATAGTAAATAATATTGTAATAACTATGTATGATGTCAGATGGGTACTAGACAAATTGGGGGGATGATTTCATAAATTACACAAATGTCTGACTACTATGCTGTACACTCGAAACTAATATAATATTGAATGTGAACTGTAATTGAAAATTTTTTTTAAATAAAAAAATATATTTTTCTAGAGGGATTTTAGAAATATTAGTGACAAGTTTCCCAAACCAACTTTTTATATTTTGATTGGGATTTTGTTAAATTTATAGATTAATTTAGGGAGAATTGATTTCTTATAACTTTGAGCATTCATAGATAGAATGGAAGGGAGGGAGGGAGAGAAACATCGATGTGAGAGAGACACATCGATTGGTCGTCTCCCATATGTGCCCTTGACTAGGAATTGAACCCAAGACCCTTTGGTCCACAGGCTGACGCTCTAACCACTGAGCCAAACCAGCCAGAGTGAGGAATGCTTTTAAACTTCTTCAAATCCATTTTTTTTTAATGTAGGTCAGACTTCTGGGAAAAGGTCATATTTTATAATCTGTAATATTGGCTTTATAAACTATCTCTTTAGTAAGTCAGCTTCCCTCAACTAACTAGCATTTCCCACAATCCTTAAGGCAAATTAGATAATGCTTTTTTTCTTTTTTGATATTATTGTATAGTTACCAAGTATATATTACAACAAATTTCTGATGAAGATAATAGTACACTGTTAACCAAAATTAGATATTAACACAAATTTGGAGTTTTAAATTTAAAGCCTTAATTATTTAAGTACAACATTTGGACAGCTTTTTATGAAGTAAAAAAAAATTAAACCTAAAATTATAAAACAGTTTCATAGGCATGCCTGTGCTAGCTTGCCCAGCTTTCTTGGTCAGACCACTTACGTGATTTGTTTCACTGTACCTGGGAATCTAGTATCTTTATCTGCCACCTATATGAGCTGTCTTTCTGCTCAAACCTATTTTATCCCAAGCAGACTAACAATAAAAGCCGCTACTTCTTACTGAAATCCTACTATGTGAGATCCAAGTGTGTGTTGCGGCTAAGAGGTAGAGTTGATATTTAAGCTACATCTGTCTAGCTCTGACCTCATTGTGGACTGGGACTGCATTCTAGGCCTTCCCAACCAGTGTGGGTATGTGTGTGGGTGTGTTTTGGAGGGTGTCTTTATTGTTTGGGGGTGGGTAAGTGAGAAGGAGAAGAAGTGATCGTAATTTTAAAACCTGTTACCACTGCATCTGAAATATAGAAATCTTTATTTTTTTAAAATATGTTTTTATTGATTATTTTTAGAGAGAGAGGAAGGTAGAGAGAAAGAAACATTGATGTGAGAGAGAAACATCAATCAGCTACCTCCTGCACACCCCCTACTGGGGATCGAGCCCACAACCCTGGCATGTGCTCTGACTGGGAATTGAACCGGGACCTCTCAGTCCATGGAATGATGCTCAAACCACTGAGCCACACCAGCCAGGCTAGAAGTCTTTTATAATATCCTTTTCTTAAGAGGTATTCTTGCCCTGGCCAGTTTGGCTCAGAGGTTAGAGCACTGGCCTGCGGTACAGAGAGATCAGGGTTCGGTTCCCGCTAAGGGCGTGTGCCTCAGTTGCAGTCTGTTCCCAGCCCTGCTTGGTTGTGCAGGTGGCAGCCACTCGATGTGTCCCTTTCAGATTGATGTTTATCTCTCTCTCTCTCCCTCCCACTCTATCTGCAAAAAATAAAAATAAAAAAAAGAGGTATTCTTTATTAAATATCTCAGTGTATTTTAAATTATAATTTTGTAGATGTTTGCTGAACTGCTATTATGTGGTAGATTCTAGGATCAGAATTTTAGGAAGCATTGTAAACTAGATTTAATAACAAATAGCATAGTAGCTAATATTGGGATTATCAAATGATTTGTTATTCTAAACTCATTAATGACTAAACAAGATTATAAGGTGAACCCTTACCTTATTGTAGAAGGAAATACTATTTGCAGTTCCTTAGGAACCATTCATTTAATTAGAAAAAGTATACTAATTATAATTACAAATTATTTTATGTATCAAAACAGCTTGAACTTTGATTTCCATATATAATATGTATATATTCTCTCAAATCTAGTAAAATATTTGTATAAGCATTCTATGATTCAGAGAGACTTTCTAGGCCAAATTAGCGTAGCTTGTTGCTATCTATTATGAAATATTCCAGATACGCTAAAAGGTATAAAATATAACATACTATCCATATACCTAACATCCTGCTCAGGACATAAATTGCTAGCAATATATGTGTGTATGTGTTCTAATTGTGTAACCCTTTCCCTCAGGGATAACAACTAATTACCTCATTTTAAACATAATAAAAACTATGTTTTTTTTCTTTTTATTATTATTTTATTTATTTTTTAACTCATATTTATTGCTGAATGTATAATAGATGTGCCTCTTTTTTCCCCATTGACTCCTACCTCCCCAATCCTGCCCCCTCCAGCCTTCCCCACATTATTGTTGGTGTCCATTGTTTATGCATATATGCATAGAAGTTCTTTGGTTTATTTCATACTCTCTCTCTTCCCCTTTCCCTTTGAGGTTCATCAGTCTAACAACTAATTTCTACTTCTTAATTCCTTCATCTTTTTCACCCAGCCCCCCAGCCCCCACCCTTCTGGCAAGCAACAAAAAGTTCTCAGTATCTAGGAGTCTGTTTCTGTTCTGCTTGCTCATTTTGTTTGTAGATTCAGTTGTTGATAGATATGTATTAATTGCCATGTTATTGTTCATATTTCTGTTCTTCTTCAAGAAGACCCTTCGACATTTCATATAAAAATGGTTTGGTGGTGATGAACTCCTTCAGCTTTTTTTTTGTCTGGGAAATTCTTGATATGTCCATCGATTCTAAATGACAGCTTTGCAGGATAGAGTACTCTTGATTGTAGGTCATTGCTTTTCATCACCTTGAATATCTCTTGCCACTCCATTCTGGCTTGCAAAGTTTCTTTTGAGAAATCAGCTGATAATCTTATGGGAACTTCTTTGTAGGTAATGGACTGCTTTTCTCTTGCTGCTTTTAAGATTCTCTCCTTGAATTTAACCTTGGCATTTTGATGATGATGTGTCTTGGTGTGGGCCTCTTTGGGTTCATTTTGTTTTGGGATTCTCTGTGCTTCCTGGACTTGTATGTCTGTTTCCTTCACCAAGTTAGGGAAGTTTTCTGTAATTATTATTTAAAATAGATTTTCAATTTCTTGTTCTCTCTCTTCTCCTTCTGGCACCTCTATGATACAAATTTTGGCATGCTTGAAGTTGTCCCAGAGGTTCCTTACACAATCCTCATTTTTTTTGGATTTCTTTTTCTTTTTGCTGTTCTGATTGGGTGGTTTTTGCTTCCTTATATTCCAAATTGATGGTTTGCTTCTTGGCTTTACCTACTCTACTATTGATTCCCTGTAAATTATTCTTTATTTCAGTTACTGCAGCCTTCATTTCTGACTGGTCCTTTTTTATGTTGTTGATGTTCTCACTAAGTTCCTTGGAGGTCTCCTTAAGTTCCTTGAAGATCTCACTAAGTTCCTTGAATGTCTCACCAAGTTCCTTGAGCAAGCTTATAACCTGTGTTTTGAACTCTGCATTTGATTGATTGCTTATCTCCATTTTGTTTAATTCCTTTCCTGGAGTTTTGTTCTTTTCTTTCATTTGGGACATGTTTCTTTTTCTCCTCATTTTGGCTGCTTCCCTGTGACTATTTCTATGTATTAGGTAGAGTCTCCTAGGCTTCATAGGGTGGCCTATTATTGTAAGTGTCCTGTACAATCCAGTGGCGCAGCCTCCCTGATCACCCCAGCTGGGCCCTCGAGGTGCACCCCTAGTGTGGACTGTATACCCTTCTGTTGTAATTGAGTCTTGATTGCTGTTGGCACATCCATGGGAGGGATTTACTCAGGTTGACCAGCTACAAGGATTGGCTGTGCCCATTGACCACTGGTCTCTAACTGCCTTGGAGGATCATCTGTGTAGGGGCCCACCACACAGGGCAAGATTTACTTCAGTAGGGTTCTGGTGCCCACTGAGTCCACTCATTGAGTGTGTCACTTGTGGAGGTGGTTGAGTGGTGGTGTTTCGATGTGGTCTGAAGCTGTCCAGTGGGTGTGCTGGCTCTGGGGCAAGGTCAGCCACTGCCTATGTTCTATCTGGGGCCACCCAGCATAAGCTACAAAGTGTTCTGCAGAGGGCTGCTTCTTGTTCTGGGCTTGGAGGGGCCAAGGAAAAGCCACATTGTGCACCAAGGCTGGCT